ATGTACATCAACCATAAACCAATGTTTATCATCATAGATCCATGCTCGCTGTTTATTGATTCAATGTACAACAACCATGAACCAATGTAAATCCATTCGTGATATCAATAACCGGCAAACATAGATCCACGACCATTATTCGTTGATTCAACGTACTGCAGTCATAACTTTATCAACAAGAAAATTTACGTACGACCGTTCATTGTCTTAATGACACCCGTCATCGACCCAAAATTAATGTTGACGTTCACTGATTTGATGTACTTTTTTATTAATATAACGTACCTTTTTCGTTCTGTCAGGCTTTCGGACTTCACGGTAACATATACACTTAATGTCATATTTGAACAATAACTTGCATCTGTTTAAAACAGCAATTCCAACTTACTTACAACGTATTTCATGTTCGAGATCCAACTTCACATTTATTGGTCAATTCAAACCACCAATTAGAACAGATTTCATATACGGTATCGAAGTCGGAGCAGGGAGGATAAAGAAGGAATTCCACGAGCCAGACATAAACAACGTTGGCTGTACGAGAGCTTTCCCGATTGTATCAAAGGATAACATTGTTGCAGACCGATGAACAAAGGGTTGATGCCCTTTATCTCTCAGGGATTTCTGAATATTCCAGCTGAATTTGCTGACAGAAGATTCTTTAATGGATCTGGCGTTTGATGCAAGACATTGTGAAATAGTGGAATTTTCGTGATTGATCATTGATTGGTGACTTTATAGTACTTGGTCAATGAGATATCATGGGAAAAATTAGAATTGAATCCTGTTTCAATATCCTCCTGAAGATGCGGAATATGTGTCGTGGCATTTGAAAAATCAATTTGATTAGTGGTGAAACAGTGAATTGCCTCATCGTGCCAAAGGTTCCAGTCTCAGATATATTGTAAACACACTTTTCATCAACAACATCAAGCCATCAAACAAGACCGTCAGTGGGCTAAATATCTAGCTTTTCTTCAGAGATTGGACACAGTCGAATCAGATTTATTTACAAAATAATTTAGATATAATTTAGATTCATAATATTGAATAAGTTATTGAATCACCAAAAACCGATCGCACAATAGTCGGAAAACTAATAATAAGAACAAAACCGACAAATGACATTACGATTGTTGCTCTTCTACTATGAAACTTTGCAGTGCCGTCACGTTCATCTTTAGAAAATTCCTATTTTTCATTATGTTATCTACCTCACAGTAACTAGAATAAGAATATAATCATTAGTTGTGAATTCCTGACAATTATTATTGTTACGGGTGTTTTATTCTATTTTTTGCAGGTTGTTCTATTCCTTGTCATAAGCATATGCCGTGTTGAATGAGGTGTTTTATCGTGAAAATCCTCTCGAATTATCGATTCGCCTGCGGTTCCACAGAGGTCCTCAGAATGTGATGTCTTTGGCGCAAAAGAAATAAGCAAAATAATTTTCTCTACTTTCAACTAGTAACACTGAGGTTTTAATTATCGGTCTGACAGAAATGCCATGTACCATCGAGTAAAATATCACAAACAAATATTCCAAATCAATAATTTTTTCTCATTTCCATGACAACGAAAGGTATTTTATTTTCCTAGTTGTTATTATCATCCTTATTTGCAATGAATTCTGATAATACTAATATTTATGAACTCAAACTACTCAAAGTGTACCAATGATAAAAAATTGCGTAAATTATTCGCTGGTCTTTGAAACATTTGCTCTACAGTCTCATTCATGGAGTCGGCATCATATGGGAACAGCTTTTAATGATAATTTATTTCGAAATTTGATATACCTAGGTGATCAGTTTTGCTTCAACAAACACGAAAAATGGACTTTTGCTACATGTGAAAAGTTACATTTTTTCAAATCAATCAGGCTTGGATATTTAGTGGATATTAAGTGGTTATTGAATGGTTATTGAGTGGATATTTAGTGCTGATGTCACAGTGATTTCGCAACCTGTTCTATCATGATCTCCAGCCTGTTTTTGTATGGGGGATTCTCCTGTTTGAGAAAATATCGACTATAAACAAAGTCTTTATCAAAAGTAATCTGAATAAATGAGGTTAGATAGTCATTTCGCTCGCAAATTCATAATTATAGGTCGTATGATTGCAAATGTTTCACAAGGGAGTATATATATCGGGAATATGATTTGTCTAGTCATAATTTACTCACTTTGATATGGGCGATTGATAATATTCTGTTCAGTATATTTTTTATGTCTCTCTAAGAAGTGGTACCTGAAGTTACCACTGTGCCTCATTCAACCATATACATATAGCTAAGTTTGATTCTGAAAAGGAAGTTTGCCCAATCCAAATTAATATTTTTCTTGTTCAGGGTTGTTCAACATTCCTCGTAGCATGAGATTTTGAGTGGATTTGAAATTTTTTCATGTCCAGAGTTTGAGATATCGGATTTAGATTCGGTTAGTGGTGAAGGCCTGACTTATAGAGTTGGCTCGTAGTATGTACAGACATAGGAAATAAAAGTGGAATCGCGACTTGATACCAGATTCCGTGATATTCCAACTTCTTCATGCGAATCCATCATTTTCACATGTGAAAATGATGGATTCGCAGACTCAGACTCGAACGGAATATTATCAGATATAAAAAACACCTGGATGATATTTGGGAGAAAAAGAGACCACCTGAGAATACTGGGGAGATGTGGGATGATGCTGATATGAACTTACTTGACCATTTTCTCAGCGTATCTCCAGAAAAAAAATTGTTGAACATTTAGTTCTTCCACGCTAACTTATTTTCAGTTCTGAAGTATCGCCAGTACGAAGTTTGAAGTTGATATGATGTGAGATTTTTCAGGAATTTTCAGAAATAATATAAACTTCATTTACATCCATTTATGCCACTATTTTGGTGAAAGTAGGAGCCATGTGTCGTAGTGGTAATGTATTCATGCTATACCACCTTTTTTTCGTGAGAGCAAATGCCAAGAAAAACTGAAAAATCGAATGAGCGTTCCTCAAAAAGTCATGATAAAGAGTAACCGAGCACAAAATACGTGTATTCTCGAAAATAATCCATTTGCTTCACTTGATTATTTGGGATTTTCTCTCCTCGTTTCTTTATAGAATCATCGAAGAACAATAAAATTCTCGTCTCGTCTTGTCCGAGTCTCTTCTCGAGTCTTGTCTCGAAAACGACACGAGACCATGCGAGACTCTCGAAAACGAGACTCTCGCGGGCATCACTAAATCACTTGCAAATTTATTTCAAAATCCTTTCATTTCACTGGCGAAATTTCGAAAATCCTGACAAAATCCTTGCAAATATTTTTCTACAAAATGCTCATGAATTTCATGTTGAATGTTGAATCCTCACCGATTACTGCAAAACTTTGTATCACGGAAAAAAAGGAATTGTTGAATCAAGCAAAATTTAATTGAATGAAGCGAATAAAAGTGTCATATATGCACGACAAAATATAATCTTGAAATGAGTAAATCTATATCTTGTTTCAGAGCAAATTTGAAGTTTGAATCAAGTAAATATGTCTTGCATTAACTCAGGATCCTCTTCAATCAAGCACATTCACGAATTGTTTATATTATTATATTATAATATTTGGTTGATTCAATGAAATATTTGTTTGATTCAATGAAATATTTGGTTAATTCAATGAAATATTTTGTTGATTTAAGAGGAACTATATATCCATTCGACAAATTATTTTGGTGAACCAAATTCAATATTCGGGAATTTTCTGAAATTTCACATCAATAGAATAAACAAAACTAGAAAACAAGTCGACTTCTAGCATAGATCTTCAGTCTTTACTTCTCCTCATCGTAAGTTCGATTCATCCAGCTGATATTTCAAACACGAAGAATCAGGCTTCACGTATATAATGAATTCGAGGCAGGCATAGACGGGGCGAAATGATCGCCATCTCGAGGCGGAAATTCAAGTTGATGTAGAATGAACAAAATATTTCATTAATATTACATATTTCGTTGCTCTATTCAAGCAAATGATCTGTTCGAAACAAGTTCATTGCAACATCGGAATAAGAAAACTTGTGTTGTTTCAAAGATATATTCCCATCAAAATGATCATTATTTGATCAAATCAACAAAATGTTTATAGTTGAATCAACATCGACATTATCTTGGATCAACATAAATCGTTTTTGATAAAACCATATATTTTGTTGATGGAATTGATATTATACTGTTGATTCAATTAGACTACATTCTTGATTTGAACAAGCTGCTTCCATGAAATGATCATGTATCTGGTTGATTCAACAAAAAATTGCTTAGTCCAACAAAAATAATTCAAGCATAAATAATTTGTTGATGCAACAAATCCTTTTTTTCCGTGATAATTACTTGCGCAAGTGATTACTTGCGAAACGGCAGCACTGGTTAATAAGTTAATATCCACTGAACATCCACTTAAGGCGGATTTATGCACAACGCTTTTTCATTTATCTGTTTGCTTTCATTAAAGTGTCATTAAGTTTATTTTTATTTAAGGACTATGATACCTTTATGCACCACCACTTTTTAATTTTGAACTCTTCTTCTTGGTCAAAACATAGTCCTCATCGTACATAGCCCGATGAAAATATTTGTGTTATAACATTCAGTGATCACATAATTACAATAAGAATCAATCATTCATATTGTTTTCAAAGTCTAATTTGAACATACGACTAGAATTTTCAGAATTTTCAACCACATTTTGGCATAAGAAGAGGAAGAAATTGTTTGTCTGACTTCTGACAGAATCGCGCTTGCGCAAGTCACAGTTTTATTTGTATTTGTCGTTAAGAGATACAAGTTGGTCATCTTTCAGCGAATAGTTAATGAACGATTAAATTCAATTTAGGTGCATGAATGAATGAACGGAAATACCAAGTTTCAACTTATTAGTGAAATAGTTGATGATTGTGAAATTATAGAATAATGAAAAAGCGGTGTGCATAAATCCGCCTTTATACAGACTATTTTTCTTCCAGAATGATGGGTTGGCTGTCGTCGAAATGCGCATGCGCGAAACCCCGTAGACGGACAGTCGTCAACTACGAACTGTCCGACAGCGACTCGAAATCGGTGTCGGACATCGAGCTGAGGCCGAGCGGCGAGCCGCCGATCAAGTCGGCGCTGCCCAAGCGACAGGGCTGCTGGAAGATCAGGAGGCTGATACCGAGGACGGTTCTCAGATGGATCGGACTGGACGAGGATATGAGCATGACCAAAATCGAGAAAAGTGAGCACGAATTCTTTACATATTCAGGGTGGTCCAACAAAATCTTCACACTCCGATTTTAGGGCTTTAAACTGAAAATCCGGAAAGCAGAGTGGATGCGTCGCTTTCTGATTCGAGGGAAAATCATTTGTCTGCTTCCCTCATCCCCGTAACTTCAACCGCATACCCAAGAAAAACAGTAGAATAGGGATGAAGGGTGGTGCGATACTAATACTTTATTTCAAATATTATATCGAGTATCGAGTCGAGTACCATCCGACACTCTAGTTTCACGTCAAAATGTTTATCGATAACGAAATGAGAGCAGAAATAGTGGAATCGAATGTCGAATCTACCTCGAAAATATCATTCCTATTATAGAGTAGGATTCAAAAAGTATTTATTTATTTGTTCTCTTCTGTCACAAAGTGAATATTCATGAAAATTCAACAACATTTCAACCGTGTAAAATGGATTGTTGAATATGCACGATGAACTGAGGTAAATCGAACAGATAGTGCGTCCACAACCTTTTTAAATAAAAACTTTTCGAATTTTCTTTCGAGGTAAATTTGACCTATTGCCTCTTTATCTCTGATTTCTTTATCGATGAAAATTTTGACACAAACTTAGAGGGTCGGATAGTACTCGATTAAATATTCAAAATGAGTCAACGCAACACCCCTCATCTCTATTCAAAATCCGGGGGTTGTGCTTTCCCCTGGTAGGGAGTTGAAGTTGCGGGGATGAAGCAAGCAGACAAGTCGTTTCCCCTCGAATCAGAAAACGGGTCTGAGCGTTTTTCCGGATTCTCATTTTAAAGCCCTTAAATCGGGGTGTGAAGTTTTCGTTAGACCAACCTGTATAGACTGTTATATTGTATTCACAATTAAATGAACGCGAACAGTTTCACACTATGATGGAATGAGATTAAAAATATTTATGAAGTTATCACCATGTATCTCGACCACCACAATAAACAAGTTCATATAAACTTTCTTTTTATCTTTCCAAGTACGATATCCCATATAATGTTCCGATCAGAATCTGTAACACCCTGTGCATGAGTTGAGCAAGTCAATGTAAGGTTGATTTATTTTACAAGTATCCCACTTGAAGAAGCTGTGAAGTTTTTCCAAGGAGAAGTTACTTTAAAAAAATGATCCTGTCTGCTGAGAAAAGGTGAATTATGTTTTTGGGTGCATAGTATGACATCACATAAATCTACAAAGTAGTTCTTCTTTCAGAAAAAAATCACCGGCAATAAACTGTGTCCAACACGTATATTACTAGGCATGGCCAAGTTGTTAAATATAATATTATAGGAGTGAGATTTATTACCCAGACTTTTAGTCTGAACAATGCTTCCAAAAAAATTGAGAACAAAGCGTTCAGCATGATATATATGATATACCTACCAAGTTTCAAGCATCGTCAGAAAGAGCAAAAAACTCAATTTGGACCAGTCAGAAGTCCCCGGGTATTATTATATTTTGTTTGAAGTCTGGATTGTCTTGTTTGCTTCGTCCTCTCTTTCGTTGAATGGTATTTTCCAAAGGGATTTATTGAATTGAATCGTTTCATCATCCGCGTGGTACGATGTTTTTTCCAGATATCAGCAGTGGTGACTCCTAAGAGGATCATTGAGGCTGAGCCTTCTCAAGAATTTCCATACATTGTACATCGAATAGTTCGAGTAACATTTTGTCTGATCTTTCTGAATCTGATGGAATTTTTCGAGAAAAGTGGTCACAAAGTGAACTTTTTTGACACAACAATGAAACATGAAATTTTCCCAAGTCCGGACATGGATATTTTTTTTCATAATGTTATCCTGAATAGTTTCAGTAGAGAAACGTCGCTGCCAAATTTCAGCAGACTACGATGAATCATATCTGTAATATCGGCCATCAAAGTTATATAGCAATTTCACATAATACCCTTCGTTATGGAGGGTCAAAAAATGTTTTCATATATATGCATCAACTCGTCTTGATTTCCCCTATTAACCATCTGGCTATGTGAGTCTTCTCATGAAACACCCTGTATAATACAACTTGTGGTATTATATATGATAAATTTTCATGCTGGATGCAATTGGATTAAATTGACCTTTACAACATTTGATTCGTGGACTGATGGACATTTCCTATCCAGCCTCCTCTGATTGTTTCACGAGCAGCCAATGGAAATGAGATCAACATAAGTAAGGGGGAGCATATTATAGAAACTCGAGCGGATCATTCTGAGTTTAAATACAATTTATATGATGCAAAATGTCTCAATAGAGACAAAATCGATCACCATTCCCTATACCAGTCTTATATGCTATAATCGATGCTATAAATATATATGTATTATATATTCATGAATAAGCTATGAAGAAAAAATGTTGACGAAACACTGAACATATTCAACATCTAACCAGTGTAAATCTCGCTTAGCGATGAACTCCCCCACTGCAGTAATATTCCTGATGTCCCAAGAAAGTGTTTTGCGATCACACGTTCAACCCAAGTACCTAATCAGTGACTTCATCACTACCTTTACTATCTATGAAACAAATAATAACAATTTCCGCAAAATCCAAACTTACTCAATCGAAACTTTAATTGAAATACAATTACACTATTTGATAGAACTGTGAAATTGACTTTCGTTTCGATTCAAATCTGTCAATAATTGTAACCTTAGATCAAGTAACACATTGATTTGGATCGAGACTCGAGAGATAGACCGCTCTAAACACAATTTTAAGAAATACCCTTTCAAATATATGCGTTAGTGGATGAAATCATATATAAATGTTAGGAGCAAACGTTCATTCCCTCCCATGTGTTCGATAGCTGTTTTAGCTCTTCAAGCATTAGGATTTGCAATTATAACAAGCAATGTTAAAAACATGTCACTTCAATAATAAGGCTATATTCATAGTTTTGACGGTTTGGTGGTAATCTCACAAAACTTTCTCCCACGGGAAATGAAATATAATTAGGACGTTCATATTAGGTGAGACATTTCGGAAGAAACGAAGTGGGCGAAATTGTCCTTACACCTTTCAAGCATGGCACGTGGAATCCGTAAAAATTCTCGTGCTGTTTTATTTATCTCTATAGAATCGTACATAAAGGAATCCCTACTATGTTTGTGGAACATCGTACATACCTTGGGTGGAATGCCTTGACCTAATAGGTGTGATTTTTCGCAAGTGAACTTTTGTTTTCTCAGATTTCGTTATATGTCGCAATGATCCAGTTTCATACGAGAAGAGAACAGTGAGCTTTGAAATTCAATCGAAAATAAGTGTTTTCATAAACACCATACTTGCTGGCGCACCCTGGTGTGTTAATTTTCGGTTGCAACTACTCGAAACTTTGAACTATATCCCACAAGCAATGCCCCAAGGCCCGATGGGTCTCTATATATGCATGCTGTAAATACCATATATTTTTCAAACCTATCTTTCAAATAAGATAGAACACAGTGAATGGAATTGCTTTCCGCGGTGTTTATAATAGTTTGCGTAAAATAAATAATTCTGTATAAACCTCTTACCAAACAGAAGTGAAATCCGACTGGAATTCAAATGAATCACTATATGAATGCGAACGAAAAATCTATATATAAAAACATGAAACTTTACAAATTATAATCTAACATCCTTTCTGTCGATACCTCGGTCGATACTTTATTCTAAGTTTCATGTGATTTGTTTGAACATTTCATAAATTTATTTTCTACCAATTAGAAGGTCACTTTTTGATTACGTTGCTTATAGCAACGGGTGACTATCGCGATAGGTAATTTTGTTCGTTCTATTAACTTAATGTAATTAATAAGTGATGATCATTCTGTCAAAACCCAGCGAGCACAAAAACATCTCAGAGATGTCAAAAGTACGAGATTTCGAGACATTGAACCTCCACTGCGATGTTCTGTTCACACATGAATAGAACTATTATAGAACAGCCAATGTCCGCCGCAGGCGGCAATTATCGAGATGTCCTTGATATGTCACAAAACTACCTTCTCCCTAGTTCTTTTTAAAGCCTTATCATGGACACAACAAAACATTTTCAACGCGTCTTGCGCACATTAAATCGCTGTAAAAAACCATTTTCGAGGTACTTCTCTGAAGCCTTTCGTCAAAATGAACTTTTGCATTAGGATTCCATTTCCCTTGAATGAAAAAATGCATTAAAAATAGATTGAACATAAAAATATTTTCTTGATATGAAATTACCTTCTTAATCGGTTTCTGAGAAGTGCTTACTACACACAGACATATAATTGGAAATAGGTTTCCCAATTTTTGGAATGTTCTCCACAATGTATAATTCTGCAACTGCGGAGAAGCTGTGTTTTGATAAATTCGTACTTTTATATATTGATTACACTGAGGCACCGAACAACACATCTTGCATCTGATGGTCATTATTACAAACTAAATAAGTCTTCTAGCACAATAAACTTCACCAAATTCCTTTCTGTTCGTTAGCAAACATCCTTATGCCTACATTTCTAAAACATCCCAAAACATCCCAGGGATACCTCTCAGTAGGCAAACATATAGAAATGCCACAGAAGAACAAAAACAATACTTCAATATCCTTCAAAGACCTCTTTGGTCAGTGCATATTACGTCTCAAAATAACATCTTCATGCCAACATTTTCAAAACATCCCAGGGATGTTTGTGCTCGCTGGGCTGTTTCATTATTTTTCGCAGCTCAGCCTTGGCATACTTTTCCCAGGTTGCAGATTTTGCGTGTTTCGCCATGTATTTATGCCCTGGAGATTTCATAAAGTTCAGGATTTATTTCCAGATACAAACAATAATTTATCTTGTTGCCGATTAGGCCGCTTAAGTTGTTTCCCAACGGCCGAAGTGAGAAATATCGATTAGGATTAGGTTGGATTGGTCTGGACCAATGATGGGTCTTCCGTCTACTTAATCAATTATTTCCCAGACAAATTGAACTGAAAAAGCTATTCGTTCTATAGTATCTCGTAATATTATAT